ATTTCGTTATACTTACCATTCATTTTCCGAAAAAATTATCATAAATAAAGTCAAATGCAAACATAATTTATTCAAAAAATGTAACAAGAGCAGCAAAAAAAAAAGTATTTCCATTTATATTTCATTTTTTCTTGTATTTTTTTTTTATCATTTTCCTTCCATCTCTCTTAGTATATAGATATAGTATAAAAATTCATGATATTAAAATAAACAATAGCGTTACCATCGTTATATGATGACCAACAGACACTGACAGACTAAAAATATTACGATAAAATATTGAATTGCAACAATTAACGACTACTACATTTTATAATTGTAAAAGTAGAACCAAAGAGATGAACAGAAACGCCGGACCAGAACAAGAACCGTACGCCAAAATTAAATGCATGAGTTTTTGCAATATAATGTCACACACACACGTGGAAACAGATGATATCAAACAAAAAAGCCAGTCGTAAAGTGGAAATTTAAGCTATTTTCCGGCCAGTAGTTAAATTCGGGGCGTTAATTTTACTTAACTGAGGGCAGTGCCATTTAAATGTGTGTATTCTATATGAATTCTTATATTTTGCTGCAGAATATCGTACTTGACCTGTTTTAAACTAAATGCTGCCACTGAATTTTACTTAATGCAGAGTTACATGTTTTGTATTATTCAACTCAAATTATAAAATTTTTTGAATATTGTTTAGGTAATATTGTGAGATTTGTGAGAATAACTGAAATTTTTGAATTGTGAGAGAATGTCATTAATATTACTATTGTGCTCTCCACATATTATCAATGTTATCATAATTTTGTTACTCACTGTTTAGTTTAATGATAATAATAGTAACAATGAAATGGAACGATTTGTTTTTTTTTTGAGATTTTATTGTCCAAAATTGTTCCGATTCGATTTATAGTGAATTTTTTTTTAGGCCAAAGAATTTTAAAGATGATTTATGGTATAATAATTCTAAATAACTAAATTTTTAATTGTTAAAACTCAATAGTTAATTGATTTAATCAAATGTAGAAATGGACACTTTACTAGACCATTTTAATTATTAATATAACAAAATCCAGTTTTGGTTTAAAACAATTTTGGAACCAAATTATTTTAATTCCGGATTTCAAATATTTTAAATCTATTTGATTTTTTTTTTATTAATTTTACTTCGCACTCATATTTCAATTAGAAACTGTTATCAACCTGCCATATAAACTTAATTTTAATAAAAAAAAGTAAAACAAAAAAAAAACACAGTAATAGACCAGAAACACCATCTACAGTATAAGTAAATTGTTCCTGTTCGAATGCTCAATTACTATTTTGTTTTACACCAAATTTATTTTCGTGGTTCATAAGTTCCCTTAACAAAAACAAAAACTATATCTTAGATATCAGTCCCCTGACTGTCCTCAATAAAGTTTTTATTGCATATAAGTATACCTACCTTCTATATATTGAATTCAATTTTAAAACAATAACTATATATGTGTATGAAAATATCTGTATATATACAGACAACTCTCTAAATTTTCGCTCCTTTTCGCTTCGTTTGTCATTTTGCATAGTCAACATTTCATAAAATATTCGTATTTTGAGAAAAACAAAAAAAAAACGAAGCAGCAATAACAAAGAACAACATGAACGGTTAAATTAACAATAACAGCAGTTACCCATGGGATTCACTATACACATATACACATCAATATGGATGTATTTATATTCTGGAAAACGGTACCAGAAAAAGAATCGTCTATTTGTCGGTATACATTTCTCTTCTAAATACATAAATTAAACAGTTTTTTATGTTACATTTTTTTTTTTTGCTTAATTTTTTTTCTTGATTCATTTTTTGTTTGTTTCTTGTTTTGGAAAACATAAAAAACACATAAATAAAACTTTTCAACATAATATTTCATTTGGTCAGCATAAAAAATAAAATATATAACAGACACAAAGATGAAAAAAAAAACAATATACGTGGAAAGCAAAAAAAAAAAACCAAAATACAAAAGCACATTGTATCAGAATAACTGGCTACTTAGTGATACTCGTAGTTATGTATAATACTATTTAATACAATTGGAACAGGTATTGCCATATTTCTACTAAAAATCAAAGCAACAAACCGAAATATACTGAAAACAGTTTTCAATTAGCAAAAGTTTATTTGAATTTGATGCTGAATAGCAAGTACTCATCATGGTCGAGGTATCCTCTTTTTTAATGGTTTCTTTAGCTTGAAATTTTTGTAACTTTACAATTTCATAAAGCGAAATGCTCGTGCTGATGCGTGTCATCTCAAGCAATTGCCTTGCTCATTCATCAGTATTCCGAAATTCTTGAATTTCATCAAATGATATTGAGATTCTTCCAAATCAGTTAAAAATTTTAAATACACCACAAACAGTAAAAAATATTCACCAAGTTGTAATTTTTTAAGGAATTTCTACCGATCAACTCAAGTTCCATGAACTAAGTCAAACGAAATTTCAGCCAAATTGATATGAAACAATGCTAAAATATTAAAAGTTATTTAAAATAATTATTAAAAAATAAAAATGGTGTAGTTTTTAACAAAAATTTACAAAATATCTCACATATTCCTCATTAATCACAGATCCAAACCAAAAATGAACTTAAAAAGAATTTCTACCAATAAATTTATTAACATACATGGCAATACGATTACCACATTTTCAAATTGCAATACATTTTGCTTGATAAGACATAAGGTTCGGACTCGCGCACAAAATTTTACTTTAAAAAAACATGACAAAAAAAACCAAAATTGTACTGAAAACGAATGAAGCTTCATCCCAATTGTATACAAAATTTCTGTACTATGAAAGGCAAACAAAACATACACAAGAACGGAAAAATACATAATGAAAAGAGCATACACAACAATACTTCATATAAACTTTATTCATACTTCGTATAAACTTTATTCGTAACAAACATTGAAATGAAAAAAAAAAATCTGATGTGGTCAGCACATAACCGACCGCATTGTGTATTGTCTAGTTAAATGAAAGTGTTACAGAATATTATAAAAATGTCTGCTAAATACTTCTTTCCAATTTTTAGGACATTAGTAAGCTTATAGTTAACATACTTAGAAAAATGTAAATTGGGCTCTTAGTAGAGTTTCGCTTTGTGCTACCCGAATTCCCTGAAATGCTCGCCAGTTAGTTTCGGTAACAACCAGAACTCAAATATCAAATTTCAAGAAATTCCATCAATTTATTCTGTGGATATGGTGAAAAATGTAAAATCGGCCCGCAAATCAGTTCTCGAGTCCTGATCTTTCCAAAAAAGTTATATGTTCATTGCTTTAATATGAGGAATTCATATATTAAATTTCAATGAAATCGGTTGATTATTTCTCTTTATATACACAAAAGTGTATGTTTGGCCCGTAGTAAACGTCTAGTTGCCGATGCCTGATCTTTCCAAAAAATTTACATGTTCATTATTTTAATACGGGGAATTCATATATTAAATTTCAATGAAATCGGTTGATTATTTCTCTTTATATACACAAAAATGTATATTTGGCCCGTAGTAAACGCCCAGTTGTTGATGTCTGATTTCTTCCAAAAGTTAGGAATTTTTGCGTATGATCGAGCAAAGCTTATATATGAAATTTCAAGTAAATCGGTTGAATACTTTCTTCAAAATGGTGAAAAATGTAAAATCGGCCCGCAAATCCGTTTTCGAGCCCTGATCTTTCCAAAAAATTTACATGTTCATTGTTTTAATACGAGGAGTTCATATATTAAATTTCAATGAAATCGGTTGATTATTTCTCTTTATATACACAAAAATGTATATTTGGCCCGTAGTAAACGTCTTGTTGCCGATGCCTGATTTCTTCCAAAACATACGAATTTTTGCGGACGGTCGAGCTGAGCTTATATATAAAATTTCAAGTAAATCGGTTGAATACTTTCTTCAAAATGTTCAAAAATGTAAAACAGGCCCGCTAAAAAGTGCAGTTCCCGAGGCCTGATATATACCAAAAGTTGATCGATCCGTGCCATGGTGGAAACAAACTTACATATAAAATTTCAACAAATTCGGTTCAGCCGAACTTGAGATACACGCGTGCACACACAGACCGACAGACGGACAGACCGACAGACCGACAGACCGACAGACCGACAGGTTGCTAAAAATAGTTTATTTACACTTCCCCACTATGGAGAAGTACGTTCCCACCGAAAACTCGATATGCAAAATTTGTTGCCATCACATAACCTACCTATTGTTTACACAATACGGTCGGTAAAAATACTAAAAAAAAGTTATCAACGACTGCAATAAAATAAAAGCAAAAAAACTAACCGAAGAGGGCATAACAAAAAAAAAAATGTCCAATTTCAAAATGTTTGTTTGTATGTTTATGATACTTGCTATATGTATTCTTTTGTTTGCATGCTCTCATTCTATGATATTTTTTAATGTTATTTTGTTTTACTGTCATATTATATGTGTCCCAATAGTACCGTATATCCGCATACAAAATATCATCATAACTTTACTCATTGAACTAAAAGAATCCTCTCTATATATAAAAAGCAAAAAAAAAAAAAGCACAAATAATAAATGAGAAAAACATAAATATGTAATAACATAAAAAACTAAAATCAATTTTGACCCAAATGGTGAATCCAATCGAAGAAACGAACAAAAATTGTTAGAGAAAAAAAATTCAAATGTTATGAAACAAACTTCCCGACAAATGTTTGATTATAAAAATTTGATTCATTTGTAACTTATGAACATTATTTTCACATAAAATATGAGTAACACTTAAAAATTTTCGAAAAACTCAAAGTTTGGAGCACTATTTAAAATTAAAAAAAAATTGCATATTTTCGGGGGTAACCATTTTTATTATATTCCGATCGGGTATGTTAGTTAAGGACAAACTATAGCTATATTCCAGTTTTACACCATAATGTTTCTTAAAAACTTCAATCCATATTCTCACCTAAATATGATGGTAATTTAATAATATTGTGGAACTAAGAATATTTGGAGTTTCACCATGAATTGCTTTGCAATGCGGTTCATTCTTTCAACATTATTAAAAATGGTTCAGTGAATAAGACTCTGGTTTGGTTATAGTATCTCTATTTCAACTAACCGGTCTAAGATAGTGCTTAAAACTTATTTCACACATGTTCGAAATGGATGTTCGAACATCTGTACGTCAAATTGGAAATATTTTTATCGCGTCAGAAAATGAGTTAATTAATCATAGAGAACGTAAAAAATTGCTTGATTTTAAAGGCATCTTAAGTTAGTCATGGTAATTACCCTCATCAATAATATAGAACTCCAGGAATTTTGACAAATTTTTACAAATTAAGTACTTAAAAGTTGATTAGTTAATGGAACGAACCGCGGCTCTAATTTTCATACATGTAGAGATCGAAATCACTAAATTACTGAAATTATTTAATACGGTTGCTAATACTTGACCTGTAATAGTGTATTTCTTATGTGATCCAATGTTCGAATAATTTTTTTTGGTACATTTTGTAGGCTTTGTACTTGTATACGATATTTAATGCTATAATGTTGTTAGATGAACAAGTCTGTTAGGAAAATGTGTAAAATAATTTTATATGCACAGGAAAATTCTCATAAAAAATCCTGTAGTTTTATAATAATCAAATGGGATGTTAATGACAAAAGAAATGAAATTGTTTTCAAATGGAAAACAACGAATTTGTTTTTTCCATTTCCTACTAAAAACAGTACACTATAAAAGTTCTAAATTTAAATCGTCAGGGGTCGATGGTGTTTTTTTTTGTTTTTTTTTTCTCCTTTTCATTGTAAGTACAAGAAAATACGAGGAAATAATTTTAAAATAACAGCATATACGCATAATTACATAACAATTTAACAATGAAAATGTTTCAGTTTTATCTTTTAGAAATGTTAACAATAACGACATAATTTTTGTCAGCTGCGAATTAAAAGAGAGGCGTGTGTTATTAAATGTAAAATGCCTACAGGCACAAATTCTTACATATAAATGAAATTTTGGTGATAGTTTATGTACACTTACATTACATGCATGAGGATATGATAGGATGCTATTGCTATTGAAAATTAACTGGGTAGTGCTGATTATTTTAATAACAATTTATTGTTCGATCTCATTTACAGCAAAAAATTGTCATTTAGTTTAAACTTTATTTGTAATTTCCAATAAACTTTTTGAAAAATAAATTTCTGCGAAAATAGAAAGAAAGGATTGTTACAGTATTTCAAATTGTAAACACAAATATAATTGAATTACTTCATAAAATTGTTTTTAAGTCGTTTGGGATCATGAACAATTAAAAGTGATCAAAACCGTCAAAACTTAATTGAAAGACAGACAAAGTTCTAAAAATAAAATCTAATCCTCAATTATTATTAAATTTAAAAATCGTGTTAGGGTTTAACTGCTAACGAAATCTCAAATTTTTTATTTATGCTTATTTCGAATGGGAAGAATGGGAAGATAACTTTAAAATTTTCTTACATTTTGAAAATTTCCAATTTATTATTTGAAATTTTTTCACGTTAGCAGTCAGGGGTTAATACAGTGTTGAAATGTGGTATTAAAGCAATTCAATCTAAAAAATAAAAGTCATTGCTATTTTAAAACCCGGGATACTCACAATGGTGTCTTGTTGACCCCAACAGAATTTAATTCACTTATTTCTCTTTCAAAGTAACAGTAATCAAACATGTCATGAAATACATGTAAGTTATTTTTATTATTAGTTTACGACAAGAACTTGAACGGTAATTATATTTTGGCGAAAATACCCGAGAAATAGCATTACTCACCGTGGGGTTTGAGAATTTGGAAAAAATTTGTATTTTAGTTTTTTTTTTTATTAAAAATTTATAAAAAAAGATAAAAAAATTTATGCTTGTTTTCTCAGAAAAGACCTCGTACAAATTCTGCTTTTCGACTATTTTCAATTTACAAAAAATAGGATTGATATTCCAGGCTTGTAGACCCCAGTGTGAATAGATTGTTTCATATAAAATAAGTGTCAGTGTAGACGGTTTAAAGCATTTACTCTGTATTAAGATTCAATTTACCTGAATCCAAAATTATTGCTGGTGTTGAATTTAAATATTTCAACTTTGACTTTCGACCCAAATATTAAAAATTTTTTAAGTTTGAATTACCATACATACTGTAGGATAAGACAATAGAATTTCTATCCTAAGGAATTTTTGTATTGTAAATTTTGAAAAAAATTTTTTTTTTTTAAATTTTAAAGAGTTCAAAAATCAACTTTCATCTCTCATAATTATAAAAGATGATTTGAAAAATTCTAGACCCAGTTAACATAATGTAACTATAGAACTGCATAAAACTTTTAAAAACTCATTGCTTTTCAATTATTACCTATACAATTCAATTGGGCATTAATTTTTAATTTTCAAATTTCCGAAAATATAAAATGATACCAAATTATATTGTTTTATGGTACTGTAAATGCACAATTACAAATTTATTAAGCATACGTATATATGCGAATACATACAGGTATCTAAAAATGAACAAAAAAAAAAAAAAAAACAAGCAGACGAAAAAAAAACCCCAATCAGGGGAGACAAAATTTTTCGATCCTTTTGAAATTTCAAATTATTGTCTTTGTTTTTTTTGTTTTGTTTTGTTCCTCTTCTTTTTTACTTTCCACAATAACAAAAGTTGTAGTCTTACTAAAACTATATTTTTTCTGTTTACTTTTTGTTATTATACCCAGGTATATGCCCAGGTAAATTTTTATTATGATGGTCTTATATAATATTTTAGCTCCTGTCTTATTATTGTATTTCTTTTGAAATTTTTATAATATGACAGGAGGCTAACAAGGTAAACAACACAAGAAGATATAATAAAAACAAAAAGAAACCGAACTATAAACAAAAACTGAAAGATAACAGCAATAACAATGATATTACACAGAAAAAAATATCAACAACAATAATAAACAGACAAAAAAAAAAAATTGGGGCTTTAAAATTTTATTTGAATTGCTTTTGTTTTCCTTTGCTCCTTTTTGGAGCAATTTTTGTTCTCTTGTTTTAAAATTGTCAAGTTTATAAAAAAATTTTCTTCTTGTTTTATTTTCTGTTGTTCTTATTCTTTTTATTTTGTTAAGATCCTCTCTTTCAATAACTTACAATATGATGATGTTGATCATAATATTGCTGGGGTGATGATGATGCCTGATGTTGATAGTGATGACATTGATAATATTATGAGTGTATATGTGTGCCTATGTTGGTTTTGGTTTTATTTCTTAAATTTGAAGAAAATTAAAAGTTTCATAAAAGGATTCAAAATATAATAATAAAAAAAAGAGTAAAACTATAATGGAATTATTGTTGAAATAAAAAAAAAGATGACAAAAACCGAAAATCTTCTCTGATGTCAAATTTTCTTTCTGCTGCAGTTTTAATGTTGGACGTTTTTTATTTGTCGTATACATTGTCGTATACTCATTTTTTTGTACCTGTACATCTAAAGTGGGTATTTGAAATTTGTGTTCATACAATTGTTTTTTGTTTTATAGTTTTATTATTATTGTTTTGTTGAATGTTGTCATTTTTTTTTTCTTATTTTAGAATTTTGTCATCTCCAATGGTTTATTTTGTCTTCTACTGCCAATTTCAATTAAATTACATCCCTTTTTTTTTTGTTCAATATTATATTGTTCATTTCATCAGAAAAACTGTTCGAAAAAAAGTCAAAAAATGAGAGCAAGAAGTTTTTTTTTTGAAAATGGGAGAGATAAAATGAAAGATTTTTAGTATATGATCAAAAGGTATAGGGTTTAGTATTTGGTTTACCCTTACGGTGACCAAAAATACTGTAATGTTTGAACATTTTAGGTTATTTTTGACTACTTTTACAATATTACATCGTCGGTTGTTACACATAAATGTGATTAACTCTCTAACGGTTATTTGGTTTTTAGCTAGAATATTAGGCGGTAGAAATTTTAAACTACGGGGAGCGATAGGAATATAAACTAGAGCTAAAAGAGAAAAGTGTAACAAATTGAACGAAAAATCTTGAACACGGCAAAGTTCTGTTAGTACAGAAACCATAATTTGCTTCCTTATTCTGTAAGACGGAAACGTATTAAGGCTATTTCTTATGAGGCAATTTAAGAGATATTTCAGCGATTTCCTGTGTGGCCATAATGAACTTGAGGACTATTTAGGGCGTATATTGCATTATAAAGAATATTTCCTAGAGCTAATTTAGATTACCTGATCCATTCAGTAATACAAGATTTAATGTAAAAATTGTCGAATTTCTCTTGTGTAGTGTGAACATGTGGAATGTTTCTAAGAATACATTTGTTGTATGAACTCTATTGCTAAGGAAGACAAAATCTGTTTTTTTTTTGTTTTTATGCATATACGGCGGCTTACCCTTATATTTTTTTTGAAGTATTTTTATAAAATAACAAAATTTAAAGATTTCGGCAAATTTCTGATAAGTTTTCGTTTGTTTTCTGTTTTTTCTTTTATGTTGACATTTTTTTCAAGAACATTACAATCAATTGAATAGGACAAAAATAATAATGTTATATGAGGTATATAAGACAAAATAAACGATGTTATTGTTACCTACATTTATTTTGCTTCAGTTTATTTAATTTCATAATATGTGGGTTTTAAGATTGTATAAGAGAAAAATCTTAAAACTTTTTCTTACTACAGTGCCATCACAGTTTTGTTATAGTATTTAATAATATAAAAATATGTGTTATACACAACTGTTATATCTTTATACGTCAATATAAATTATGTGTGTGTGTGTATAAATATATTTTTATTTTAATCTTTATCTTTAATCTTAATCTTATCCCTTTCAATAGTATGCAAAATTTTAGTACGAAAATATATAGATTTTAGGTTTTAGATGTTATACTATGATAAGTGGTTTAAACGGTCTTTGTTTTTAAAGTGGAATATACATACGTATTAAAGCGATTTATGAAATCGTTTCTTACACAGCAAACTTAATTCATGAACTCAAATTTGATAAGACGAAATTTTTATAGAAATGACAATTTCTCTTCTGTGAAATAATACTAGTGTTATTGAGTAATTCTAAGAAATACATAATCATATAGTGTCTTGAATTTGTTATGGAAATTTTCTAAAAAATTAAATTATTTTTGAAATGCCATTGTATTTACATACCAGAAAATTCACACATATTTAAAAAAATTTTTAAAAATCAAAAACTTATTTGAGAATAATTGAGGTATTTAAACTGCAGGACGGAATTCAGATATCAAAAATATCGTGAACTTGTTCTCTATCTGGTCTTATCCATCCTTAATCCACAGTAATCCATCTTTAATAGACCGTAGATCAAATATTAGATCAATGTACAGAAACATAAAAATTAAAATCCTATTTCAATTTTTCTATTTCCTCATAGCAACAATATTGAGCAGTAACAGTGTTGCTGAGCAATTTAAATAACATCGCAATATACACTGGTAAAAAATATTATTTATATATTGTTCTTAAAACTCTTTTTATCTCTCACATATAATTTTATTATAGCAACATTATGTAAACTTTATTTTCCATTAACATTTTTATTTAAAGTCAATAATTTTTAAGATATTTTCACTTATTTCAATTTGTTATTTGAATTTTTAAAGTAGTTGCTATTTAACTTGAAACATTATTTTGACACTAGTTTCATTGATTCTCATATTATACATATACGCACGCATATACCAATATAACAATTTTAACTTTAATATTTTTCAATTTAGCGCTACACACATAAAAGACAATGTAAATGCACTGAATTTTCTTCTTTATTAAATCTTCTTTTCTCTTACATTATTGCAAAATTTAACATTGTTAAGCAGCTTAAAACAGCGTATCATATAGTAAAATAATAGCAAAAAGTTATTAAAATTTAGTATACTTATAATATGTAATTTACAGGTTGTTTCGTATAAGGTAGCAAATAATTTTAAGGACGATCCGATGGTTAATCTATGTCGCATAGTTTCAAAGTTATAGGCAATTTTTTATGTGCAGGAAAAGTCTGGTATTCTTTTATTTTCAATGAGTATATCTGGAACCGCTCTCCCCGCTCCTCCCCAGCCTGTACAATTTTTTCGTGGGAATTGATTAAAGAATCATCCCTGAAAATATTTGTAACCTTATGCGATACACCCTGTAGAAGAACAAAAATTACTGTTGTAAAAGAAAAACTGATAAAAATTTTAAAAATAAAATTAGTTTGATAAAAATTTAATAAAAAAAAAAATAATGTGTTGTGTAGGTTGTGAATTTTAAAATAAAATGCAATGAGAAACGATTTTACAAAAATATGTAAGTAAGTAGTTAAAGAAACAGAGGAAATAGAGTAACAATATAAAATAGTAACTGCAATGTCAACAACAGTTTTAATGGTAGTTATTAACTTTATATTTTTTAAGTATAAAATTTATATTGAAAATCGTATTGTAGATAATATTATGAGTGCAACATTATTTGCACAAAATATATTAACAGTTTATTAACGGTACTACATAAAAAAAAAACGAAAATTTTTGTTATCTTTGAGGAATGAGGAAAATGAGATGGAGTAAACTTTGGCTTGAAAATATTTGAATAAATTTAATTATTCGTGGGCCAATTTATCTAATATGAACTAATAGGATTAATACAAGCTAAAATGGTTTATTAACGGCTTACAGTACGTAGGAGTGTCAATATTGATTTGGTTTAAGCTAGGTTATAGTGGCGAATTTTAGATTATTTATTTACCATTCAATAACAGAAAAAATTTAATGTGATCAAAAATTTTAATTTAAATGCAGGCTGAATGACTTTGCTGCTTCATTAAACAAAAACCAAGACTCAAATTCATTTATAATTTTACTCTTCAAATTGTACAAAGTCTGAGACGATTTTCGTTTTTCAATCTATTTATACCATTCCACTCATGCTTCTTATTAACAATATAAATATTTTTAAATTATTATGAATATACCCGCATACACATACAATGTGTAATAAACTTAAAAATTTATGTTACATATTATATTTGTATATATTATGTATAAAAATATACAAAAGAAAAAATATAAGATCAACCTTGTAAAAATATTTTAATAGCTTTATAATGTATAACAAAAACAGAAAATGGTGCAGTGTAATACTGTTAAATTAAAACTCAAAAAATGAATAGTATGTCGTTGCGTATATATTTGTATTTATGTATTTATAAAATATTTTTAAAAGTACTTAACCCGTTTATTATTGTCTAAAAATGCAACTAAACTATGTAAGTGACAGTATAAATAATAAAAAGTAAGTATGTGTATTTATTTATGTAAAGTTTTTCTTTTTAATATTAAAGATGATCTACATATGTTGATATAATATATTTATGTTGCACAACATTTGTACACTCAAGGAAAAATAAAATTTTAAACACAAATTATGCCATTGCAAGCGAAACATGGCAAACAATATGGTATTAAATTTGAAGCTATTTACAATTTCTATTAATTCCTGTGCAACAACGGAATGATGTCGAATTATAACTGGAAGCTTCTTAAATATTCACTCATCAATTACTAAAATAAAGTAAATTTCGAAATCAACTCTCAAAAATAGGCAATTTTTTTTTTAATAAAATTTTTGTATTAAATATAGCTAGTTCATATTAACTAGCTATATTAGTTATATAATACAAACTAGCTATTAACTAGCATAAATATAGCTAGTTTGTATTATATAACTAGCTAGTTCATATTAACTTGAAATTACTTCAGTATAGATCATAATTTTTCCATTTTACCTATAATATTATTTCTTAATGTTTTTTTCCTTAAATTATGCAAAAGCGTAATTTTTTTAATGTAGTACGAATATATTATGGCAATAAAATTCAAAATAATGCGAAAGAATGTAGGTTTGCCGAAATTTAATTTAATTTACAACAGGAATAGAATCACACTATCTTTTTTTGTATGAAAGCTATAAGTAGCTTTTGTGGTACAATTGTGAATAATTTTAAGTTATACAAATAGAAAAGTAATGTTCAGAAGACTCAAATGTGCTCATTCTCAAAAACCACTAACTTCTTCCGAAATATTTTTGTTTTCTTCCTCTATATAACTTAAAATTGCAATCCCAAAAAAAAAAAAAACATATAGTAACTGTAACACTTGAAATCCAGCTGCAAATATAAAATAAAAACAAAAAA